GATCTGCTTCTCCATGGCATCAAGTCTTGTTGAGTTATCTGTTTCAGACATTTTCTCCTTCCTTAACTCTTGGGCTCCTTCCAAGGAAGTAAGGATCTCGCCAAGCTTCTTGTATTGCGATCGAGTAAGGACCATACACAGGATGCCCCTTCACCGGATCTGATGCTCTGATACCAACTTGATACGAGTTGCCGTGCGAGCACCCTTTGGTCGCGGAATTACCAAAAGGTGGGTTGAGAAGAGGACGACCAAAACACAAGAACAATTTAGTTTGGCGAAGGAAAATACCTTCTCTAGATTATGAGTATGCAATTTACAATCTCTCACAATCTCACTCTAGAATTGAAGAACAAGCTCTCCAAATCTCAATCTAGAATCTAATCTCTCTTGATTAAACTCTCTGATCTCCAAAGATGCTTAGAAACCCTAAAACAATTCCTTATATAGGTGTACAAACGTGGATGGCAATTTGGTAAATAACCAGACCTAAAACCAACAGGAATTCGTGTGAACAGAATCCCAAACGAACCAGGAAACCTTCGATGAGTCGACTCATGACTGATATGAGTCGACTCGACAGAAACTTATACAAAACTTAACAACCAGCGATGAGTCGACTTATGACAGTCATGAGTCGACTCAACCTGATGAGTCGACTCATGACTATAATGAGTCGACTCAACGGCTGAAATCTGGATACTTCGATTCTTCTGCTCGTCGTCTCGTTCCACGCTTTCTCCTGTGTTCCCTTATACTGTTTGACACCTCTATTCTCATGCTAGCATGAGAATCATCTATCCTCAAGCTCCCATGAGGATCACTAAGTTCCGAAGAGAAGATACATCCATATCATCTGTCCCCTCTTTAAGAACTTGAAGTCCCGTTCAAGTTAGATCTTCATCTGAGAAAACTCTCGAGTTCCTTCATCTTTTCTGCACCACCTAGTCTTGCTAGGAATCCGGTCTTGACGTCCGATCGGAAACAACTCATTCTTCCCGCGTCTCGTCATAGTCACCATTCGCTCTAAGTTTCAATCCTTTGTCGATGGCTTTTCTAGAAGTCTAATGCACAACGAGACAAACTTCTTACTTGCATTCACTAGTCTCTTCGCTCGTGTCACCGTCCCCAAGCTTGTCTCCTTCGGAAGAGATGTCGAACGAAATATAAACTTTTCACCACCTTTGGTGAAGGTATACTTCTGAGCCCGCCTCTCGTAGATCGCATATCTATCCCATAAGTACGGATTGCCCAGTATAATCTGACAAACATCTAATGGAACGACGTCGCACGTAACCTCGTCAATATACGACTCATGGAGCGCAAATCTGACAGTGCATTGATCAACTACACTCAGTCCCGTCTCCTTCTGAATCCACCCCAATGGATAGGGCTTCGGATGCTTGACCATCTTCAGACCCAGCTTCTAAACCAATGATTCAGATATCAAATTCTTCTCGCTAACAGAATCAACAATGGCATCAACTAAACTGGTCTTCACTTGTAACTTGAGCACAAAGAGCTGCTCCCTCAGGTCGTCATCCTCCTTCGTGGTCTGTTTTCCCGTCATAAGGTTGAGACTGCTGTTAGGCTCTGTCATCCCCGGAACTTCTTTCGGACCTTGAGCTATCATGTATGCCTTTTTCTCCTCCTTTCTCTTCAACCCTCTTGGCTTCAGATGAGGATACTTCTCCCGGCATTGATCAGCTTCATGTCCTGTCTTCTCGCAATGACCACAAATCAACCCTGTTTTCCATGAATCACTGTAGGCTGTCTAAAAATCATAATAGATAGTTGATCCCCCATCAAACACCGATAATGGAAGTTACAATCTGACGACTTCCAGAATGCTACAATTTGAGGATTTTCACGTAGAAGGTTACAATCTGACGACCTTCACAACAACTAAAGAAGGCCCCAATTCAACAGCCTTCACAATCAACATCGGGAGTTACAATCTGACGACTCTTATATTTTCAAGGAGCCAAGACGAAGATTACAAGAGGACGATCTGTGCAAAGCTCTAGCAAAAGAGACTACAATTGACGGTCTCTTCATATTAGAATGCAGATATCTCTCAAACCGTAAGGAATTTGGCAAAACGGAGGAAGCGAACCTAAGCCTTTGGCTTGGTTCAAATGGCCCCGTCTCGTCGAGATAGCCGGTTTTCATATATAATTCGTCCAATTCCGACGTACGGTTTGAAAGTTATGACCTGTTCTTCGTAGCAAGTTATGTTATGAAGTCCGTCTGCGAGACCGGACTTCGTCAGAACATTGGACTTAGCCTAAAGCTCGCCAAGCCCGCCTAAGGTTCGCCCTTGCATTACAGAGCCAAAACGCACAGGGCGAACCAGCGTTATAACCTCAAAACACAGAGTTAATCTCTAAAACAGCACGAACTGTACGTTTTCAGCCTAAAACAGGCTCAACTCTGTGTTTTCAACATCAAAACGCAGAGTTAATCTCTAAAACAGGCTCAACTCTGCGTTTTCAACATCAAAACGCAGAGTTAATCTCTAAAACAGGCTTAACTATGCGTTTTCAGCCTTTAAACAGGCCTAACTCTGCGTTTTCAGCCTAAAACGCAGAGATAGTGACTACGTTCCAGATTCAAGACGCAGAGGTCTTGACTGCGTTCCAGATTCCAAACGCAGAGTTCGTGGACTCAAAGCGCAAAGTCCATGCAGAACCCATCTCTGTGTTTCCCAAACACAAAACGCACACGGACTGTGCGTTCTCCAGCAGACATATAACTCTGTGACGCAGAGTTAAAGCACAAACGCACATATAACGTGCGTTCTTCAACAAACTCAACCATGCGTCCCAAACTCTTGATGCAGAGTTGAATTTCAACGCACAAGCGACCTGTGCGTCTCCAATTCCAGAACGCATGCGGCCTGTGCGTTTCAAACCTTTGACAAAGGTTAACTCTGCGTCTCAGGCCTTAGACGCAGAGTTGAGACCCAGAACGCTGTTTTTCAGCGTTTGACTCGTTCAAGCACGATTTGAACGGTTCCAGAACCGTTTTCTCCCTAAGATTTTAGGGGATCACTACCCTATCATGGTAAATATGAGGAAGCCATATCCTCTGGATCGCTTAGCCCCAAGGTTAAGCATGGTGTCCGCAAGATCTCCAAGGAGATCAATTCTGTTGTCGAAGTGCCGAAGAAAGCCCTCTCCTTCGGCCAAGAACTCAAATTGGCTCTGCTGGCGGAAGATCCCACATACGCGTCAGCAAGACGTTCTTCAAGCCACAAACGGCCTCTGGAGGAAACGAGTTCCATAAGCGTCAAAGACGCTGCTGCTAAGGCTTTGAAACAAGCCAAG